TCTAACTATGTACAAAGTCTTCATTCAAAGCCTTCAATTGCATCTTTAGGAGGATCTGATCCACACCAGGTCACCTCATCACAGAGAGTGATACCAAAATGGCTTTCTATAAAAATTGTGTGCAGTTTTTTATTTTAAAAACCCTGTTTTATATAACCACAAAAATGGTTATATATTACCACAGCTTAGTATATGTACTGTATTGATCTCCATAGAAGGCTAAAACTCAAGGTTATGTATATACTCGAGTATAAGCCTAGTTTTTCAGCCCTTTTTTCAGGCTGAAGAAGCCCCCCTCAGCTTATACTTGGGTGAGGGTCTTTCAGTCCCACACCTTCCTGCCAGGACCCTCACCTCTTTGCACAGCAATCCAGCTCTCCTTCCTCTCCTCCTCTCTCACGCAGCACACACCTTTCTGTCCTCCTCTCTCGGCGTCAGTCTTTCCCACTTTTCCTTATTCATATACACACAGCATTTCCCCCAAAATGTATAGTTAAAATAAATTATGGTGATTATTCGAAGGATACGTAAGCACATTTACATTGAAGGAGGTTAGAAAAATGGTTCAATCAGTTAGACAGCCTTATCTTAAATTACAGTTTTATGTAAATATTCAAAAACATTTAACCTACAGATGCCTCAATTAATGTAATTTTATGGTATCTATTTTTATTTTGAACTTTACCAGCAGCTACAGCTGCTGTATTTCTTACCCTCAGCTAATATTCGAGTCAATATGTTTTTCCAGGCTTTGTGGTGCCTTGGCTTATATTTGGGTCGGCTTATGCTCAAGTATATATGGTAATTGATTTTTTAACCTTTCAATACTCATGTGCTCTGGTCAGAGATGTTATCATCGTCAGTGGTCTAGCTGCCTGCTGCCATCTATAGCAACACCTGCGTGGGGCCATAGCAACTCCTCTTTGGCCCTGCTGCCTTACAACTCCTGGGCAGGGTACCTCCATGGCTCCACAGCCTCTCGGCGAGAGTACTTCAATGGCCTAGCTGCCCAATGCAATCCATAGCAACACCTACACGGGGCCATAGCAACACCTCTTCAGTCCTGCTGCCTTACAACTCCTGGGCAGGGTGCCTCCATGCCCCCCACAGTCTCGCAGTAAGATTACTTCAATGGCCTAGCTGCCCGCTGCCAGCCAAAGCAACACCTGCGTGGGGCCATAGCAACAACTCTTCATCCCTGCTGTGTTACAACTCCTGGGCAGGGCACCTCCACAGCCCCTCAGCCTCGCGGCGAGAGTACTACAATGGCCTATCTGCCCACTGCCGGCCATAGCAACAGCTGCACAGGGCCATAGCAACACCTCTTCAGTCCTGCTGCCTTACAACTCCTGTGGAGACCAAAATCCACTGATAGTGGTGATATGAGAATAACTAAATTAACTCAATGTATATATTACAAATACACATATCAAAAACTGCCACATACACATAAGTAGAAACAATTGGTTCTTCTCTTGAAGTATAAAGCAAAGTCTTCGTTTGAGAAAATGTCCTTTCTTTATTACATGTGAGTAGACTCCAATAGTCACATGAATTGACTCCAACCTGCTACCGGTTTCGACTCACAAGAGTCTTCGTCAGACGGTTGGGTTCAAATTATCAAAAACAAGCTCAACTTTTAAGGTGAGAAACTCACCAACAGTCTTCTGGTGGGGTGGCCTACACTCGCCACAGAATAAAACTTGCAGAGTGCACTGCTCAACAAAGAATAGTTGATCCACCCCACTGTGTATGTGGCAGTTTTTGATATGTGTATTTATAATATATACATTGAGTTAATTTAGTTATTCTCATATCACCACTATCAGTGGATTTTGGTCTCCATAGTTTCAGGGGAACCCATTTTTCTTTTTGGCCTTACAACTCCTGGGCAGGGTGCCTCCATGGCCCCTACAGTCTTGTGGCAAGACTACTTCAACAGCCTAGCTGCCCGCTGTCAGCCAAAGTAAGACCTGTGTAAGGTCATAGCTACACCTCTTCGGCTCTGCTGTCTTACAACTCCTGTGCAGGGTGCCTCCACGGACCTAAAACTTCGTGATGAAAGCACTTCAACGACCTAGCTGCCCACTGCCAGCCATAGCAGCACCACTTTGGGTCTGCTGCCTTACAACTCCTGGCCAAGGTGCCTCCACGGCCAGACAGACTCATAGCAAGAGTACTTCAACAGCCGGGCTGCCCGGCCACAGCAACTGGTATCGAATGACTCCTTGTGTCTTTATTATATAAAATCAAGACCAGAATGAAGTCCAAAGAAAATAGCACACAAATCAGAAAAAAATATAACTTATAAGCCACTCTGAGTTCCCTTCGGGGTAAGAAGGGCAGCATATAAATGTAGTAAATAAATAAATAAATAAATAAATAAATAAACAGACCAATAAATTACCCTTGCTCCTCACATAGTTATTTTCATTGTCACTCTTAACATTAGAATAGCATCCTAGTTTTTAACTGTATTGAGACATTCATGTAAATGAATCAGATAGCAGAAATTCAGCACTGCCTGTTCCATGTTCATCTTCAGCAATATTTTTACAACGTGTTTCCTTATACAAAGATTTAAATCTTTTCAGTAAATTTAAATGTTATATTAGGAGCTGCCATTACTTTCTAGATAAGAGCAACTTGTCGTTGCTATCATTTGATACAATCTTTGTTAGATCCATAACCCGAGTATGATGTTTTAGAAATTTTGCCTAGATTCTGGTTTGTAATTATCAATGGTTGGGAGTTCTCATTCATTTATTTTCCCTAAAAGTAAAATCTGTACAGTAGTCCTGAGTTGGGTATGAAGCCTTTGAAGCATCTTTGATTAAAATTACTCCATTGCCTATCTTTTGCATTCATTTTTGTAAATGTGATTTTTAAAAACCCTTCATTTAGTCCAATTGATATGTAGCAGTACTTTTTCAGATTGTGATGGAGAATGAGCATCAGGCCCCAATGCTTTCAATTTCAGGAACATGCCATGCTTTTACATTTAATAAAAGCTAGAACAAGATTTTATTTGCTCAATTAATTTTCAGCTTCTTTTCACTCTTTCCACCCTCAAGACATTGCTAATTAATTGAACAGAAACTAAACAAGAAACCAAATGCTGCAGCTGAACCAGACCTTGCACAGGTCACATTTCCGATGACAGCTCCAGTCCAAAAATTAATATCTCTAAACCTTTTGCTGAATTATTATATGATAATGCTAATTTCTGGCTCTTCTGATCTTAGTTTTTTATCTCTAACATCCTTGGACAGGAACCTATTCTGATCCTGTGAATCCTGCTCCCATTTTGAAATTAGCATTCATTTTGACTGGAATAGTTCACCCAAATTGGGAACCTGTGCCTACTAATTATTTAATATTGTTACTAGTGAATTACATTTAGAAGTCTTCTTGGCCAAAGAGTGTTGGTATGTCACCAAAACTACAACTCCTAGGTTTCCATAACATTGAACTAAAGTGATGTCAAACTGCATTAATTTTATGGTATAGATGCACCCTAGGAGCAAATCAGGTGCATACCTCTACTTAGCCTAGTGTACCTAACAAGTTGTGAGACTACCAATAATGTCATTGTTGTGAGAATACCATGCATTTCCTCTCCACCCAGTTTGATAAACAGGAAAAGTAGAAATCATCTATTTCAACACAGCCTTGTTTTACAATTGCTAAGGAGAAGGCTTGGGTATGGAATATGAAAGAGGTTCTTGCTGAAACTGAACGTAGTTTTGAAAAGTTAGTGTTGACTGTAGTTCCCAGACTTTTGGCAATAGAGGTTGAGAAATCCTAGAAAATTTTAAAAGTATATTTTCCAAACTCTGGCTCCTAAGATATTCTGCATGAGCATTTTAGCCTATACTGAATTAAACAGGCCAGGTCATTTCTTGGAATGATCTCCTAACTTCTCCCCCACCTCTTCTTCCCCTAAGTGAAAATAAGCAGGAGAGACTGTAGACATTTCATCGTCAATCATGGGCTTAGGAGAGCTGACTTGTCCCTAACGACTTCATCACAGGACCGTCCCATGTCACTCCAGTTCGCTGTGGGGCATAAGGAAGCCACCACCTCACAACCTGTATCACTGGGCTCCTCCAGCAGCTGATCCCATGAGGGAAGAATGGAGCACGCAGCTTCCACCCATGAAAATCAGTGGCAACATAGGAAGCCTCCAGTATTGTTGCAGTGGTGGTGGCATGCCAGTTCCATGCTCCTTCACCCATGGAGCCAGCGCAACATTGTCTGATAGGAGCCGGTTAGCTCCATGGGTGACCAGGGCTAGATCGGTGTTTGCCGCCAATTTTAGCCTCGTATGATGAGATTGTTATACTTAGCATTGCATTCACATCTCTGATATCTTTCTTTTTCTGAGCGAAACAAATAAATAAAAAGTGGTTGAAACATTCTGAACTATTTTGCATGGTCGGGTGCTGTCAGCAGTTGAAATGCCATGCCCACCTGTTCAGGAATGTATCCCCTATGGACACAGGGGTTCTACTGTATGTGTTAAGGAGACAAAATCACTAAATTCCATCCATTTATTGATAAGAATGCAGGATATAAAGAAAAGCTACCTTGGAACTTCCTTTATTCATTTAAAAAACTTGAAAAAATGTCATAAACTTTTGTTTTTCTGTGATCCACAAAGCAAAATTTATGCAAGAAAATTAAATCTCTATAGAAGCGTGTGCTGCTGTAAACATTGATATCAATGTGAAAGTTGTTCCTCAGCTGAATAAACATTACTTGGAGGTGGGGTCATCTTCTCTCCATGTTTTTTTATAGTTACGCTTCCTAATTGTCCTGTTGCTACCTCATGCACCAGAAATCCAAGAAAGCTGACATAGTGAAGTTATATACGGCTTTGCGGTGACCTCTATGCAATGAGGATGCGTATCTGTCCAATAAAGCCACAGACAAAATGACAGTGACAGCTGCCTTGTGGCATTCAATTTGAATGGAAGATGTTTGTTCAGAAGTGTCAGTAGCAAGTGTGTCATCACGGCATATAGCAACAAGGAAAACATCTTCAAGTCCCATCCTGGAGAAATGAAACTTCTTTCAGCAGCTGCAGAGGCTCCCTGGGAGGAAAGATGGTCCTCAAGGTCTTTACACATCTTCCTGGGCTGATCTTGTTTTATGACTTGTTTGAAAACTGAAGCCTTTTGCCAGGTGTTAATTATAGGAGGCAACAAAAACACAGCTTCAAATAGCAGAAGCAGCAAAGCTGGAGGTTTTATGGGTGGAAAGAACTCCAAGGGCCAAGGCAAGAAGAGCATGATGCTGCTGAAGAGAAGCCAGAAGCTACCTCTATGGGAAGAAACTCTTCTCTCTGGAAAAGACCCAAGGACACTACTAAAGTGTGGACTGCAGTATGTCAGTTTGAGCCTCATAATGAAGGGTATGACAAGGGTTCCTGACTTTCTTTGGGGATTGCCACAGGTCCAGAAACTGAATCTCTCACATAACCAACTGGTGATTCTTCCTCCTGCATTGGGTACACTTGACAGACTGGTAGTGCTGAACTTGTGTGGAAATCGTATGAAATCTCTGCCAAAAGAGATTGGGCTGCTCAGGAACCTGAAGATCTTATTTGTCAATATGAACTGTTTGACTGAACTACCAGCAGAAATTGGACACTGCAAGAAACTGGAAGTTCTGAGCCTCTCGCACAACCGTATCTCTCATCTCCCGCCAAGCATCACCGAACTAATAAACCTGAGGAAACTGAACCTTAGCAACAATCGGTTCATTTACATTCCTCTAAGTGTTTTTGCATTGAGAAACTTAGATTTTTTACACGTAGGCTGCAACAAACTCGAAAACATTGGAGACAGTATCCAATTTCTAGTCAACTTACAGATCTTCATTGCTGACTATAATAACATTCGTGCCTTGCCAAGGTCTATCTGCTCAGTTGCGGCTCTTGAACTCTTAAATGTTGATTACAATTGTATCCAGACTCTTCCAGATGAACTTTATTTGCTGCACAGACTGCCCAAAATTGCTTGGAATCCAATGGATAAGGGCTTCCATATTTTGCATAATCCTTTGTCCAAACCACTGCCGCAGATCATAGAAGGAGGACTGGATGCACTCTACAGCTATCTCAAAGATAAAAATCAGCTCCCATAAACATGGGCTTCATTTGGGATAGTGGTGGTTGCCATGTTTCCTCAGTTGTGGTTTTTAATTTTTCTGACCAGTGAACTTCACTGTGCAAATCGGAAGCTGGAATACAGTTGCAATAAAGTTTACCTGAAAGCAAGTACATTTATCCAGGCTGTGCAAAGAATGTATTTCTCAAAGAAATATGTATCCTTTGTTGGGAGATGTGATTGAAGTGTTTATCTTTATTGTGTCAAGACGTGTAAGCAGATTAATGTAATAAAAAGCCAATTGTATTTTAAAAGTCTTTCTATATGTCAGGCTTTAATAATGCTAATTTCAAAAAGGTAGACTTTTTGTGATGTAATGGCCTTGTGAAATTCAGTGACAGTTTCAATTTCTGTTCAGCTTGCAGCTCAGTGGGGTGGAAGGATCATGCTAAAATGCTTACAGCATTAAAGCGTACATCTACCTTAAGAAAATATGTTATTTAGCATCCAATCAGGAAGATGATTTGCTGCTAGGCCAGAATTTGTGCTACTTATCACTTACCATTTCTCAATGTAACTAATTTCCAGTGCGTGGGATCCCTGAAACTAGCTAGCGGAAACTTTCCTATTAAACATTGCAAATTGAGTTCTAGTAGAAATGTCCAGAATGGAAAATTGACAAATATCACATCTTAAAAAAAACATTTATGCCATTAGTTTCTCAAAATCCTGTAGTAGTAACTAAATAAGTTACATGATATGATATTACCTGGTAGTAAATGCTATGTGGAGTTCACCGTTAGTTACACGAGATACGAGAAGTGAGGTCATGCTTCCAAATTATGATTGCATGATTAAGAAGCAGCTAATTATACTCCAAGACAACTGTATTAATTTTGCACAATGCTTCCACACTTCTCCGCAATCTGAACAGATCTTTTGACATTAGAGAACAAGGGCATAAACCTTGCATCCTTTGGATCCTGAATTTTTGCACATTCCCATTAATTCCAGCAGGTCTTGTGACTTAGAGTTCTCCACTTCCCCAGGATTTTCTTTCAGAGAATACATGTCAGGACTCTCTTTCAGTGAGTTTAAAATGCTTTCTTCTAAACCAAATATTTATTTCCCTTAGCTGTAGGCACAGGCAGGTACTATTATATGAGCCCTATGTCACGTTCTCTTTGTATAAATATTCTCCCTGGAGGTTTTCTCTTGAAATATAAGTAGGTGGTGTTAGAAAATACTGTAAAATTCTTTTCTAATTTACTTTATTATAAAATCCTAAAACCATATATCTGCAACCTTTTGGATGAAACAGGAAGATTGGTGAAACAGAAACAGAAAAAGAAATAGAAAGAAAGTCTGAGTCCATTTCTATTTTTCATTACACCAAATCGACTCATCTGGGAAAGGCATGAATGTGAATAATAATACTATTATTATTATAAGGGAAAATGTGTGACACATGCATTGGAAAGTATTCAGTTTTTATGATAATTCTTTTCACTGTACGCATGTAACTTGTAGTCATTATACATTAAACTGCAAGCACTGGAATGAATGTTAAAAATCCTGACAGCTATTTAATAAAATAAAATAAAATCTTCACTTCAGAAACAGGAATTTGGAGCTGTGAAGTGCACTTTTAAAACAGTGCAGTCAGCATCTTCTGCAGTTTCCGTACGCAAGATGTAACGAGGCAGAACAGGGATATTGCCTGAGAATTGTGTGCTAATGGAATACCTCAAAAGTGAGCAGGCTCCCAGATTGGAGAGGATGTAAACTTGATTTGTATCTCACTTGAAGCTATTTGTGAAAAGAAAATTCGGGAGTCCTAAATCCACATCTTCAGCAGTTTCAACTTCAATGAATTCAATTAGGAAAAAAGGAGGCAGCATATGAATTAAGGAGCAGTATCTACAAAATTAATAAAAACAACAAACCTGTAATGTAATTAATCAAGTGAGACTGCAACCTGCACACAATTCATTGCACTGCCATCTTGATACCTACTTAAAATAAATTCAGAAGGTGTCATCACCATAGTTGAAAAATGTTGCTGTAAATTTAATGCACAATTCAATAGGATTATGCATGTAAAATACAATTCCTTTCAAAGGCAGTGTTTAATCATATGCTTAATTGGTAGACTGAAATAATTTTGATTTTGGGTTGTTGCAGGTTTTTCGAGCTATATGGCCATGTTCTAAAAGAATTCTCTCCTGATGTTTTGCCTGCATTTATGGCAGACATCCTTGGATACCTCACCTTTTACAAAACATCAAGCTTTCAAATTGTGGTCCAGCCCTATACTGAATTAAGTAATGATTACTGTGCAATTAATATAATAGTTTATTTTTTATTTGCTTTCTCCCAATATGGGACCCAGAGCAGGCTATTAACAATAAGTTAGCACAACTATGATGTCATTCACTTGAAAGATTGAGAGCTTTGGCAGAGATTCCTATCAGTATGATTTGCACTTTTGCAGAAGCCAGTACCAGTCTATGTAATGCAAAAGTTGCTGGTTGTTGAAACTAGTTGAGTATTCCTTATCTGGATTTTCAAATTCTGAAATGCTCCAAAATCTGAAATTGCCCACATGTGTGGCTGAGACAGTAACATATTTGGTTTTGGGTGGTTCAATGCGCTCAGATGTTGTTAAATGTACAAAATCACTACAAATATTTTATAAAATTAATTTCAGGCTATATGTAGAAGATATAAATGAAACATAAATGAATTGCATATTTAGACATTTGTCCATTTCTAAGCTATCCCATTATGTACATATATACAAATATATATATATCAAAATAAAACCCAGTTCTGGTCCCAAGGATTTTGGATAAGGAATACTCAACCTGTTCTATCAATATTCCCAGGTGCATGCTTTTTTTCTGGGGAGAATCATTCAGATACAGACAAGCTGGAGGCAATGAGGCGGTGTGACAAAAACTCAGAATATGACAGAACACAAGTTAGAACTCATTTTAGAGCCTGCACACTGATAATGATAGTGGAGGGAAGACTAATAATTTTACACCACAATCATGTCCTTGCAGTATTTCATCGGGTTCAAGGCCATCATCCTTGCTGGCAGGAAGATTTAAAGTTGTAGAAATGAGTCACTGTTTTTAATCAGCAGTGGATAGAATATGGTACAGTTGTTACCCAGCTCATCTGACCTCTTTCAGGGGCGAGCACATTGTAATCCTTTTGAAGAAAGGTTTTTCTTGGGATGTTATTATATCTGGCCTAGAGTCTGGCTAGGTGGCCTTTGTGACAAGAATAATTTTCTGCCAGCTAAGTGTGGTACTCCATTTATAACACACATAACTGTGGTCAGGCTTTCAATGCCCTGCTGAAATCCCATTTGCAGGGAATGTAACAACAAGGAGGCAAATAACAATAAGGTGTTGAGATGAATGCATCAAAACTCACTCGTTTTCAAAAATTGTTTCCAGGCCATTTGTCAGCATTCTTCATGTATACAGAATCAAACCCAACTAGCATTAGAACTTGAGTAAATACCTCCAAGGCATCAAAATCAGTCTAATTTTGGAAGTAAAAAAGTATCAAGCCTGATTAGTACTTGGAAGGTTGTATTGAAAATAAAGAAAAGGCAAGTCGCAGGAGTATTCATTGACCCAACAGGTGACTTGGAACCTCATCACATTGATGAGGTCCTGTGTTCTGATTCACCAGTGGTAAATCAGTGGGGCAGCAAAGCAATCCCTGCTACCACCTTACTGGCAGCGACACTCCTCCATCACATGTGGGGAAGCATCACCATGTGGAGATGCGGGTGGTGATGGCTGACAGGGAGCTTTGGCATGGGCTGGTCCATGAGGTCACAAAGAGTCGGAAGCGACTAAACAAATATACAACAACAACAACAACAAGAGTGGTAGAGTCTCATCTGGAGGTCTTTAAGCAGAGACTGGATGGCCATTTGCTGGGGGTACTTTGGCTGTGTTTTCCTGCATGGCAAGAAGTTAGACTGGATCTTCTTTATAGTCTCTTCCAACTCTGATTTCCCCTCTCACCAGTGGATAAGTTGCAGTCAGTGATAGGGCATTTCAAATGTGGAAGCTAGCCTTCACACCAAGACTATTTTCTTTTTTAGCACCAGGAAATGCCCTAAAGCTATCAGATCTTTGAAGCAAAGCAAAGTCAACCCTGGTTAGTACTTGGATGGAAAGCACCAATGAATACCAGGTGCTGTAGGCTATATTCTGGAGAAAGGATCTAGCAAAACTACCCCTAAGTCTTCCTTGCCTAAGAAAATCAAGAGATGTCACAATTTGACACACAAATTGAAGGCACATACATACATATCTCAAATACAGTAAGTCCTTTTAACAAGTTCAGTCCTTTTAAATTTATTAACTTAACAAGTGCATATAAGTATTAACTGAAGTGTGCTGCAAATTATGTCCTGCTCCTGATGTTTGATTTTTTTTAAAAAAGTGGCTTTTAAATATTTTCAGGTTTGTAGGACAACAATTAAATTTTAAACAGCCTCCCCACCCCACCCCACACACACAGACACACATCATATACAAGCTCTAATTTCAAGGATGGAAATGGTAGTTGAAACACCTTTCCTGAATACCTTATGGTTGGTAATTATACAAATTTCCAATATTGAACTACATTAAACACCTGTGCTATTAATCACCTGGAAAAATCTGTTCATCAGTAAATAAGGGTTAGACTCTGGCATTTCTGTGTGATTTGATTGTGATAGTTCCACATTTATGTGTCAGTTTAGAGAGAAATTGGCACTGTAGGCATATTTAGGGTGTTGTTTTGCGAGGTGGAAAACAGCAGATGGTCTAAGGACAAATTTCCAGACAGAAGATGAACATTAAGAAAAATCAAAACAATGAGATGGGGGTATGCAGAAGGGAATAGAATATAAAGTGAAACGCATGCATTTTGAAAGTGATAATGGTGCTGAATAACAATGGTAATTTCCTTGTTCCAATAAAACAATTTAACTACATTAAGCACTTAAATAGAAACTACCATGTAAAAGTGGGGAGAAGCAGGAGAGACTTACACCTGTTTACAACTCCCTCAAAATAAGATTAGAGTCATCCGAACTGACATGTGTAGGATTGTGCTTTAAAAGACAGGCCAAACAATGGAAATGAAAAGGTCTACAACATTTACATGAAGGCATATCATTCCTTCAGAATATCAGCAGCGATTTGGTTCTTTCTTCGATTCACTGTGCATCTACATTGTAGAATGAGTGCAGTTTTGTTGTTGAAGCATGATAATACCCCCCACCCCACCCCCCAAATAAATATATAGTTTGCCAAGGGCTTTATAAAGAATATATTATTTTATTATTATTCTTTTCTAGGACTTTTTCAAATTTTCACTATTTTGAAGCACTGGAGGTTAGGAATAGACAAGTGGCAGTAGTTCCCCACAAAGACTTTATAATTCCAACCCTTTAATAAAATGTATCTGTTTTTTTTCTAACCTTCTGCCTTAACTTGTATCTTTTTATATAGTATCTATTTTATCATATAAAATGTAGCAAGGCATAGCCCTGAGATCTTGTAACCCTGCTGAGGCATTTCACGAGCAGGAAAGGTTGGACAAATCCCTCTGGCTGTTCCCAGCCAGAGAAATCATCATCATCCATTGTATGTGTATGCGAAGAGATAGGGCCTTTCCAAACATGGCCCATATCCCGGGTTCTATTAGATTTTTACTGGAGGCGTACCAGGATAGACTACTGGGACTGCTTCCATAATCTCAGTAATCTGTCCCCACAGTCCAATTCAATTCTTAAAGTCCTATGAGCCCAGAGAAACGAAGAGGCCACCCACACTCTCCCCAACTCCCTCCCCCAATAACCTTAAAAATAAAGGAAATCTTACCGGGTCACGATTAGGCCTCTCTGCAGGCTTCCTGGAATGCACAAATGACATTCCAGGGGAGGGTAGTGGTAGGCTTTGGGGGGGGGTAGTGGTAGCTACTGTGCTGGCATGGGGACAACCCCCAGGAAAGCCTGCTTCTTTTGGGCACTCATAGGGACAGCAACGCGGGTGAAAATGGGTTACTTTAACTCATTTTTGCTTGCAATAAATTGCTGTCTGGAAGGACCTATAGATGGTTTCCATGTCAGACAAGATAAGCCAGCACATATTTGTTTAACTAAGTGGTCTGCTTGGACTGAGTGATTGCTGCCAGCAAAAATAAAGGCTCAGAAAATGTATATTAATTTAATCTTTTTATTGGAAGCCCAACCTATGATGGTAAAGATCATCACATTTTGTCTCCAGGGACTTTGCATCTTTATTAAAGTTTGGAACTGGACAGTTGAATCAATCAAAGACTCATTTATAATTTCTTTCACATTGTTTCCACGAAGGACACCCCTTTCCCAGGGGACATCCCACAAGCTGATTGGTTACTTGGCTGGTGAATCCCAGACTGCCATTTCTCTGTGAAAGTGAATTCCCACCTGGAGACGGCGACGTCAGTAGCACCCTCAGCCAATCAAGGCATGGATCTAGACTGGCCCCTCTCCCAGTCAATCAGGGAGGAGAGCAGCACTTTTGAATAGCTGTCATGTTATATAAGAAATCTTGCTTTCTCTGTATGACAAGACTGTACTTTTGAAGCATCTGGTTGTATTTGCATCTTGTTCAGCTGAGCTAAATAAACCTCTGTGGCTTGTTTTCAACCTAGTGAGCTGTTTCTCTGTCTTGGCCTATTTGGTATAGCTTGAGCTCTCCAGGCACAGATCTTTTTATCTGTGGTCCAAATTATTCACAACAGTTTGACATCACTTTAAGTGCCATGGTTCCATACTATGGAATCCTAGGAGTTGTAGTTTGGTGAGGCACCAGCACTCTTTGGCCAAGAAGGCTGAGGATCTTGTAAAATGACAACTTCCATGATTCCATAGCATTGAACCCTGGCAGGTAAAGTGGTATCAAACTTCATTATTTATTTATTTATTTATTTACAATATTTATATTCCACCTTTCTCACCCCGCAGGGGACTCAGGGCGGATTACAATGTACATATACATGGCAAACATTCAATGCCATAGACACACAACATATATAGATAGACACACAGAGGCCATTTAACATTCCAGCTTCATGAGAGTATTCTGGTCACCAGGGGAGCTGTAACTTCACTGTCCCTTTGTGACACTGATGGAGTACTTCCTCATTCTTTGCATGTTTGCTGGAGATTTTTATGGCATCGTAAATTAGATAAATTAGCCTCCCCGCATAAGCGGTACCTAAATTTCCTACTTGACAGATACAACTGTCTTTCGGGCTGTAAAGGTTGACAGCAAGCTAAACAATGGTCAGAAGCTCACTCTGACCTGGGCTGGTTTCAAACTCATGACCTTTGGTCAGTAGTGATCTAATGCAGCTGACTCCCAGCCAGCTGCACCACAGTCCCGGTTCATTACAGTGTTCCCTTGCTAGTTTGCGGATCACTTTTAGCGGACTCGATGTTATATGGGTTTTTGAAAATATTAATAAATATATTAAATATTAAATATTTATATCCAATGGAGGCCAGGGAGGCCAGGGATCCCGGAAGTGCCACAACCTGAGGTGTGGCAGGGAAGGCCTGCCTCCCTGGCCTGCTGCTGCCTGCGTGGCTCCAGAGGCTCTGCGGAGGCCAGGGAGGCAGACAAGCACCCTTGGGATGGGCCGGGAGGCAGGTAAGGAAGCGCAGGTTAGAAAATAATATATAACATATATAAAATAATGTATAAATATTAAAATTAATATGCTGTCCCTACTTTGCAGACTTTCACTTATCGCCGGTGGTCCTGGAACAGAGCCCCCGCAATAAGTGAGGGAACACTGTAATTCTACAGTTTAAATACACCCTCAGCCTTTCTGTCACCACCCTAACTTGCATCTGCATTGTGGAGTTGCATTCACAGTTACATTGAAGTGAAATTCCAGTCCTTTGTGATAAAGCAAAGGTGCTCAACTTGAATCATACTAACTGCATGTCTAGATCTTTGTTGGCTTTATAGCAAAAAAAAAAAACCCATCATTTTTCAGATCTTTAAAACATTCGTATCTAGAAACTGGTGTACAGATTGGGGTTTTAAAATTAATTCTTCTGTGCCAAAGATATATAATGCCAATGTTTTGTAGCAGTAAATGTTAAGGCATAAAAATTAAAAGAGGAACTTTTTAAAGCTTAATGTCATTCAGCTAGCCACCGTTCACAAAAATAAAGGAATTGTTTACTGTTTATCATCAAAATCATAGTTTTGTTATTTCGTAGTTTGGGTAATTTCTAATTGCTCAGATAATTGTGAAAGCTATATTTGGTCTCTCAAAGTCATATGCTCCATCTCTATTAACAGGCATATTAATAGAAGTCGGGTATTGAGACATATATAGATCTTTAATAATAATAATAAAATGGATCTGAATTTTTCCCTCTTTCTGAAGTGCTTCCAATAATAGAATGACCCTCAGTGTCACAGTGAACCTCTAAGACTCTCCTCTTTCTAATAGCGTGAAATTCCCATTTATAGCTGTGATAGGGTATGAGATGTTAAGCCCATCGCAGGCACAAGATTAAATGTTCCTGCTGCTGGTTGAAATAAAATGTAGAAGAGTGAGATACATTTACCTGAAAGCTCTTTTATGGGTGTGAATGCATATTTATTAGTTGCATGTAAGGAATACCAGAAGTAGCTAAAATAGTCCTGCAAATCCTCAGGGCAGATGGATTAGGAAGGAAAGACTAAGTAGAAAAGTGTTTCAGAATTTAACACATGAGTGGAATACATAAAAAGCACATGTAAAACATCATCCCAGTGGAAATCTACAGCCCAGGAATCTATCTGTGCAACTAGTTTAAAAAATTAAACCAGAATTAGATTTCAGCTAATTAATTTGCCTGTTTTTCTTCTCATTATTTCCTCCCATCCCAAACTCAGGAAAGAATCCATAGAATGGGTTTAAATTTATGGTTTCAGTTTTATTTAGCTCATGTGTTAGAGTTTCTGCTCTGAGGCCCCATCTGTCATATAAAAAAGAGCCCTATTTTGAAAGTGTGTGCATGTTTTTTTATTTCTTAGACTTGATATATTTATTTGACTATGCCACAGTGCAATGGTGGTATATGTTATGTATCATGTTGTGGTTGTGACCCTTCAAGTCATTTCTCACTCGTGGTGATTCTAAGGCAAATCTATGATGAAATTTTCTTGGCAAATTTTGTTCTGAGTAGGTTTCCTTTGCTGTTCTCTGAAGTTGTGTTATCAAACACCACTAACCCCACCCCAAATAAAAAGGATCTATAGTTTGGAGATCTATTCAGGCTGAAATTGTATAAAAGTGTTAAGTTTTAGTCACCCTACGAAAGGACTGGCAGCAGCATGGACTCCCCTTCTCTCTGGCTATATCTATATGCATCTTATTTATTTATTTATTTATTTATTTATTTATTTATTTACTTTATTTGTATACCGCTCTTCTCAGCCCTTAGGCGACTCAGAGCGGTTTGCAACAATTTAGGAATACACAATACAAAATCATTAAGTATTTAAAAGCAATAGCATCATAAATCAGCTAATCTTACCAGGTTTCGATATTTATAGCAGATATGGACAGGTAACAAATATGCTGGAATTCATGTTACAAGGAACTTTGATCTTTACTTGGCCTAAGCTAAATGCTGAATGACTCTGCTATTGTGAACCAGTTCCAGGCAATGACTCATAAACAAAAGGAACTCTACCTGGGGTGAGAGACATTCCTATACTCTACAGAAGTGGTTCTCAACCTGGGGTCCCCAGATGTTTTTGGCCTTCAACTCCCAGAAACCCTAACAGCTGGTAAACTGGCTGGGATTTCTGGGAGTTGTAGGCCAAAAACATCTGGGGACCCCAGGTTGAGAACCACTGCTCTACAGCCAAGAGAGTATAGGAGAGTATATTTCATTTCTGCATTATACACACACACACACACACTTGTTGTACTCAGGAATGTGGATCCCATAGTTCCATCATCCCCTGCTGGATACATGCTAACCCTCCCTCTGTGGACTCCTTCCTGCCCCCCAGTGCCTTGTCTCCACCGGGTTGGGAGGAGATTTCCAGCCACATCATCAAAGGCTCTGCCAGTCCCAGGCCAGGGAGGGAGGATTCAAGCTGTAACAATGAAACAGACTCTATTTAGCTCCTTACAGAAGCACATGTTTCTCAGACAATAGCCCACAAATCGGGGCAATAGCCCACAAAGCTCCATCTCTGATCAGGATGAACAATAAAATGCCTTTGTCCTTATCTATGGCTGCTGTGGTGAGCTAATTTTAATCTGGAAACTTTGGCTATTGATGGCTAGCATTCCTTGCCAGGCAGAATTCTCAAAGTATTGCAGTCCAGATTCTATATCAGTTGAAAGAGTTTAACTTGCCTGAGGTCATGCAGTGAGCAGAGGTACAAACCCTGGTCTCCAGAGTCATAATCCAACTCTCAAACCACTATATCATGCTGGTTCTCCAATGACATTTGCAGGGGATGCCCTTTGTGTCATCACCCTCATGATATTCCCCAAGGCCTGCCTTTTGTGACATTACCAAGGGTCATCCCTTGACCTCAGTTTGTCACTTGACACCACTTTTAAGTGCTGTAGCTCCATCCTATGGAATCCTTGGGTTTGTAGTTTTGCAAGGTGTATAGCCATGCCTGTCACAGAGTGCTACTGACTCGCTAAACTACAAATCCCAGGATTCCACAGCCTGGAGCCATGTCATTTAAAATTGTGTCAAACAACGATAATTCTAGAATATGGATATATTATTATAAGTATGATTTTCACTCACTTCAATGAGGTGTGATTGATACTTAAAGGGCTGAACAACCTGGTAAGAATAAAAAAGATCTATTGTCCAGTTTCCAAATCCATTGCCTAAAGCAAGGATGGACAAAGTGCATCTCTTAGCCTTCCTTGGGTGAACATCCCAATGCCCTTATGTGTTCATTTTTAACATGCATTTTTCTATTCCTAAAGGCATGACCACTTTTAATTAGAACACAGTGCAAAACTCACGCCCTCTAGTTAAAAAGACCACTTAAACTAAAACTGGACTTTGAGCCATTCCAAAGATTATGTTGTTGGTGGTTTATTGTTTAACATTTATGGACCCTAAGTATCTCACAATAGTTTCTGAGGGCAAATAAATGTCCTTCTGGACTCTTGGACCTTTTCCACTCTGGCAAAGATTGATTAGAATAAAAGGAGTCCCCCAAGCCCCCACCATGAAGCAAAATGTTACCAAAAGCCTGCTCCCAACTTCTCATTCTGGGTAAGCTTTTATGATATGTTCCCTTGCCCGCTAGGATGCATGAAGACATCACTTGTGATTATTTCATTTTCTTCAATTACATATTTTGTGTGTAGTTAAACATTCCCTAGAGATTACGCACACTGTTTTAGAAGATACTTAAATTGTTTGGAAGTAAACAAACTCTTCTTCTGAGAATAGCCTGATATATAGCCCTATAAATAGCATTAGACTGTCCCTGATCAAGCCGAAAGTGAAGCTAGAAAAATAATCTTCCCACAATTGCAAATTAATTCAACTCTGATTAAAGTATGCTTCCTCCCTATGCCCATTTTCCAGTGTACCAACTCAGGCTGCCTTGCAAAGCATACTTAATCCCTTGCAATCTGTGCAATAAA